ACACTGATATTGAGTTGTTGAATAAAAAAACACATAATATAATTCTTTATTACAAACCATGATTTATCAGCATTTTAAATGTTAATGTGGCAGTCAAACAGTCAAACAGTCATGTGTCAGGTTTGGATACAGACAGTCCTGAATGTCCAACGAGCAAGCCCAAATTCAACAGTGGCAAGGAAGAAGTCTAGGAAGAAACCTTGGGAGGAACCAGACTCCCTGACCTGTAAAAAGAGAACCATTTTAGCTCTTTAGAACTGCGGTGGTTGCAGGTTCAAACATGCCAAAAGGAAGAGTGGGGAACACCCACTTCTCAACAGACAGGTGAAAAAGCACTAACATATCCCTGAAACCTGTAAAACTATGTCTACAGTATCTGCTCCTCTGCAGAGTGAGATTCAGATCAGCTGGACAGTAAATGAACCAAAGGTGGATGATAACGAGCTCAATTTCCATTTCCGTGTGAATTTCCATTTACATTTACATGGACTAAGATAAAGTCTGTGTTTCCTGAAAAGTTCCTGAATACTTTCAAATGATGTTTATGTTTCTGCTATTTAGGAAAGTACTTCTTCTTCAAATCCACTTCAGTCATTTACATGTAGTTTTGTTTTGTTGGTGGGGTAACGTATGCTAGATGTGCTGCTGGGTGTATTAAAAAATTCCACTATGCTGTAAAGGTAAACAGTGTAAAATTAGATAACAGTATCAGATAACTGATCACAGTAAAGGCACAGAATGACAAGGACATACATTGATAAACAACTGACAAAAACAAAAATCAGCATAGTGTGTGTGTGTGTGTGTGTGTGTGTGTGTGTGTGTGCGTGTGTGTGTGTTATTACTACATTATTATTTTGATGTTTTTTTTATTATTTTAAATAAAAATAGCATGTTATCACCTTGACCTATCACAATCACAACCTACAATCATATGTATTTATTGTAAGGGGCAGAATGACAACAACATATATTGATAAACAGTATCAATTATAAAAACAAAATCAGCATAGTGTGTGTGTGTGTGTGTGTGTGTGTGTGTGTGTGTCTGTGTCTCGTATCACAGAAAGTTACTATTATTCCTGTTGTTAGTAACTGTCTCCATAGGATTAACTATCAGGTGTAGCTCATTCAGAGACTAATTTAGAGTTAGAATTATTCTTATAGTTAATAATAATCGTTTATAATTCCTTAAGAAATAGCAATAATTTACCCATATCTCCTCATCTCTGTTTGGTGCCCAGTGTGAGGATTAGTTTAGATTGTGGATGAAAATGAACTCCCTGTGATATGAGAGTACATTATGTTATAAAACTGTGCTGTGTTTAATAATAAACTGCAAAGAAGCTCATAGTTTCCTTTAATAAGTGCCAACATGTTGCTTTGTGTCACTGTGAATTATCTGTGGTCTGATTCCAGAGTTCAACATTTAGAGTTTAATTACAGTTTACAGCACGTTTTTCCTTTTTCTCTTCAGAGCTGGACAGTATCACTATAACACTCATCTGTCTTGTGCTGGTGAGTTAATCAACAAAACCAAGTGGTTTCTGAAGTTTAGAGGTGAAGCCAGAGGTGAACTTGGGCACAATCAGTCTGAGTATTTCTATTTCCAGAGTAGTTAAAATGAAGCCTGTTTGTTAGATAATGCTGAGATTCATGGCTGTTTGTTCTCGAACAGGTAGCTTGCATGCTCACAGCACCCCCTGCTGGACAAATGTTACTTAGTTAGTTTGAAGGCCTCATCCAAGTTCATTACATGTTAAAACAAAGTGTTTTCCATCGTTATAGCGGAGGCTCTGGAACTCACATTTAAATGACGTTGAGGCTTTATATGTTCATGGTTCTACATATTTAGGTTTAATATTTAATGTTATTTGGCAAGTCGTTTAAAATTAAATTAGGCCTCTAGTTCTCTCTTAGTTTCCTTTCCCAACATATTACCACTGAAGAATCATCAGCATTGTAGAAAAGCATAAATAAAACAGCAAATTATGGTTTTATATGATGTTTTTGTTTTCACCTTCAGTTTCTGTCTCTTTACTTCAGTCATACAGCAACGCTTGAGTGATGCTAATGAGAAATGCTAATGAGAGATTTTACAAACATGAATAAAAATAGCTTCCAAAGCTTTAAAGTAAGTCAATTGACCATACAAGTATTTATCTGAAATACAGGAATGTATTGACATGTTTTAACCTGAATGTCATCACTACAGCACTCCAGTTAGTTCATGTGTACAGAATGAACTGCAGTGTTTATTTCTACCACAACACACTTTGGTGTAGTACCAGCATATGACCACAAGATGTCCCTCACGTTGTACAGCATACAGTGGCTGACTGTGTAAGCCATATGTACACAGTGGGGTCCAAAAGTGTGAGAGCAACAGTGAAAATGCTTCTGTTTTGCATTCTTTTCTAATTTATTACAGTCATTCTTTACAAATCACACCAACAGCTCAACAATTTGAGTGAAAAGCAGAATCTTTTAACATTAATTTCAAAATTCCTCAGTAGTTGAAATGTATATTGATATGTGCTTTAATTACAGTCTGCACTCGACCTGCCATGGACGCCACACATTTGTGCATAAGCCTCTGATAAGCAGATGAAATCCACCTGAGAGTCGTCTGAACACAGCTACGGTGGAAGAGATGAGAGAGACAATTTGCGTACATTTAAATAGTGACCTAGAAACAGTGCAGAATTTTGGAAATTTCTTTTTTGTTTGACTTGTCCTAAGTTTTCATCATTTTACATTTTTCAAAACTCTAAAATTTCTCTTGATTACAGACAAATTTTCGAACATTTTCAAAGCGGTCTCATACTTTTGGACCCCACTATATAGTAATATATTTTGAAAACTAGTTTTGAGCTTGAGATTCTTTTGAATTCTGAGATTCAAGAAGTTTGGTGTGGGAGTGTGAGATCGGGCCACAGTCTCATGGCTAGCGTGCAAAAGAAGTCAAAAGAAGTAAGACAAAATGTTCCTGAGCACATAAAAACACGCCGACCACACACCACATACCACACACCTCTGAGCGATGTTTCAGCTGATATATATATCATCACTGTCAGACTGTCAGTGAAATCTTGTATCTCCATTTTAATCGTGATGCCAGCTGCCCTTTATGTTGTGTAAAACTTGATGAATTCTTGTACAAATAGCAACTGTAACTCAGAAATCAGGCTGTAACACATGCTGGGTAAGTTGTAACAATTAGACAAAAGAAACAAAAACAGACGAGACACCATGCGATCTCGAAAAGACGTTTACTGAAATAAAAGAGCAATCCAGAACAATGTTACTCATCTGTGGGTGTGTGATGTTCAGCTATATGTTACTGCCAATCGATACGTAAACTTTCTGACATAAAAGAAAGTAGAATGGAAAGCCTGAGTACATAGACACAAAAGTTTTTTGTCTGTTTTTTTTTTTCGTCTGGCACCTACGCTTACCTGTTATATGCTTACATTACATGGAATCAGGTCTGCTGTTGGAAAAACTTTGACCACAGTCCTCTATGCGGCCACCAATGCACCAGATTTTTTTGCATGACTGTTATAGAGGTGTTTTCATGAAAACGTAAAACAGCAAAGAACTTCATCATCTTTTCATCATCTTCAGTACATAATAACATTAAAAGATTCAGAGAAACTGGAGAAATCTCTGTATGCAAGCGACAAGGCTGAAAACCAGTATATGCTGGCTGCAATCTTTGGGCCCTCAGATAGCACTGCATTAAAAACAGACATGATTCTGTAGTGGAAATCACTGCATGGGCTCAGAAACACTTCTGAAAACCACTGTCTGTGAACACAGTTCATTACTGCATCCACAAATGCAAGTTAAAACTCTAAAACGCAAAGAAGAAACCATATATAAACAGGATCCATAAATGCTGCCACCTTCTCTGGGCCCGAGCTCATTTACAATGGACTGGGGTGAAGTGGAAAAGTGTCCTGTGTTCTGACGAATCAATATTTGAAATTCTTTTTGGAAATCATGGACACTGTGTCCTCCGGGCTAAAGACCACTCAGCTTGTTATCAGTACACAGTTCAAAAGCCAGTATTCATGATGGTATAGGGGGGCATTAGTGCACATGGCATGGGTGACGTGCACATCTGTGAAGGCACCATTAATTCTGAATGATATATACATGTTCTGGCCACATATGCTGCCATCCAGACGACGTCTTTTTCAGAGAAGGCCTTGATTATTTCAGCAAGACAATGTAAAACCACATTCTGCATGTATTACAACAGCATGGCTCTGTATTAAAAGAGTCTGGGTGCTAAACTGGCCTGCCTGCAGTCCAGACCTGCCTCCACTGAAGAACATTTGGCTCATTATTAAATGAAAAATACAACAAAGGAGAACCCGAACTGTTGAGCAACTGAAATCCTGTATCAAACAAGAATGAGAAAACATTCCACTTTCAAAACTGCAGCAATTGGTCTCCTAAGTCCAAAATGCTTAGAGTGTTGTTAAAAGAAGAGGTGATGAAACTCAGTGGTAAACATGCAACATTCCAACTATTTAGGAACAAAATGGGCATATCTTTTTTCAAAAAATAATAACATTTCTCAGTTTCCACATTTGTTATGTTGTCTTTGTACTATCTTCCCAACCAGGAAAGATTCCATGAACATTGATATATATACAATTAACTTGGTATATATGGAATGATATATGTGTGTGTATATATATATATTATATATATATATATATAATATATATATATATATATATTCATTGACTGTCTCCAACAGAATTTGTAGTCTCTTCCAGCATGTTTACCAAAATGTTTTGATTATTCACTAAATGACCAGATCAACAATCCACACAATGGGACTCTTCATTCATGATATTTGGTGTGGTAACATTCTAATGTGTCTCAAAGCTGATATTTGTGGCTGAAGATTACAAAAACTTTTATGCACTACATTCTGGATCACTTACAGTCGGCGCTCTGTTTATTCAAGTTATTTTAATTACAAAACAATCATTACAATTCAGACTCTGCATTTGGACACCTTACAATACACAGCTCTGCTAGTCTTAAAGGCAGAAAAGAAAAATGGTATGAAAGTTCAGATGAAGAGGATGGAGGAGATCAGTGGAACCAGCATGATGAGGAGACTCAGCTTAACCCCCTCAGCACTGTTACACAGGTTCCCCTCACAGCAGCTCAAACTTCCAGAGATTCCAGCTGCCTTCGTCCTCGATAAGTCTGCAGAACAGTAACTTCTGCTCGCACATCCTTTCATTTTCATTTGAGCACCACCAACACTAACTGTGAATGCAGGTCAGAGAGAGAGAGAGAGAGGTTAGACAGATGAATATATTTAAACAGATAAACCACAAAATCAGATTAAAGGCACTTTCTTGCAGTGCATCACTGAGCATCCTTATTTTACACCAAACATGTAAGATCACATTTTAGATGTACAGATGTGCATTTTTCATATTTTTCACCTCTGCCGCTGATGCACTGATCTTCATCTCCCTCACAGTCCACGGTTCTGAAGCAGTCGTCATCAGCACAGGTGTAACACTTCCTCCCATTTGGAGAGCCTTTTGGCAAAGCTTTAGAGAGAAACAGTTCAGTACAGAGGTTTAGCGTCATCGTTACTGCAGTTCACTGCATTACAACACACAACACACTAAACCCAGAGCTACTCCTTACAGGACATCCTGATAATGAAGTCTCAGCACTACTGATTGTTACATCAGCTTTAGCTGAAATGGGCTGTTTGAATGAGACAGAATAAATGAGGACCTTCATAATCAGCGTCCTTTGTACAGTTTTCAGAGTGTTTGGCTTTACCTGGTGCTTTGTAGCTGTTGCAGAAATAAGTGCTGCAGCATTTCGAGTTGATAGTCGTTTTCAAAAGTCCCAGGTTTAGGCTTCCAGAGACACACTGTCCAGCTGCTGCACAGCCCTTCATATTAACTTCTCCCGTTTGTACACCACCTAGTGAACACAGCACATGCTTAATGTAATGTGCAGTTATAAGTACACACCTGTGCAAAGAAATTGGCCAAATCCAAAACACTCATGGTTTTACTGATGGTTTTGGGCTGATCAGAGTCCAGATACATACAAAGCCAGAAATATGTATACATCATCTGTACCACATATATGTGACTGATTGATGGTCATTAAATTAATTTTATATTCAGGTCATTCTTACCTACGTACGTTGCAGTGGTCATGCTGGCACATTGAGATGAACAGTAAGTCTGGGTGTCTGTGCATAGTCCAGACAACCCTGATATACACTCATAACACATCAGTGTCAGCACTAGAGGACAGAGAGAATCCAGCATGAGAAACAGATTCAGTACATAAAGCCAAAACTAATGAACCCCAATTTAAACTCCTGCTCAGTGTTTTGCTGGATAATGTTTCATAAATTACAGTGAAGGGCATTCAAGCAGCATTCACTGATATTCTCATACTTCAACTTTGAATAACTTATGACATAAGAACTGAAAGATCCAATGTAAGTGACTCATTAATAATACATCGTAAAGGCCAAACTGATTAAACACATAATTTACTGAAATGAATTAAATACATCTAAAAGTTTTCTTACTGTACTGTGAGTTTAGTTCCATACCTTTTGGGAAAAATACACAGACGAGCAGCAGTGTGACTTGCAGCCTCATTGTTGGTGGATGTGACAGTTCAATCTGATGACATGGTGAAAGCAGGGCTGGATCATATTTAAATCATATTTAAGGAGGTGTGGTTCCGTGGGGGCTTTTTGGAACCTCCCATATTATATTAACCGTTTAACACTATTAAAATGTGTCTTGACATGGTCATAACATGCCACGGGTTACGGTGTACTACATACGTTCTGTGTGCTGATGTGTCTGCATTTCTGCTGAAGTGTTTAACTGAAAGTATTTGTAAATTCCTGTTTTGTGTTCAGTAAAATGAACCACAACACAGCCATAGTCACAGGACAACAAGTCTGTGTTGCAATATGTAAAAATTAATCTCCATCTCTTTTAAGGTCTTGTGAGATGGAGGCGGTACTGACTTACTTTCATTTCACCTCCTTACAGCATGATTTGATATGAAATGTACATGGAGTAAGGTAGTTAGTGTTTTTTACATAAACAGATAAATGCTAACGGTCTGTTACCCCAACTAACATTGCTAGCATACTCATTTTCTTACCTTGTATCTTGTTGCCTGAAACCAGCCTTCGGTGGCTTTAGCAGCTTTTCTGGTTTGTACATGTTTCAATTGTGCGTCAGTCCATTTCTGATTAGCTTTAGTCCAGAGAAGTCGGCAGCGTTTCTAGGTACTATTGACATGACTTTCACGATGCATAGTACAAGTCTTAACGGGTATTATAGATGCAGTGACGGTCACGTGCAGTGATGCAGTGATGTTTATTGACAACAGTTTGTCAATGCATTCCTGAGCTCATGTGACAATATCCATTACAGAAGCATAACAGTTTATAATGCAGCAGAGGTGGACAGTAACGAAGTAAATGTAATTCATTACTGTCCTTAAGTAGTTTTTTTGTGTATCTGTACTTTACTGAAGTATTTCCATTTTGGGTGACTTTTTACTTTCACTCCACCACATTTCAAAGTCTAATATCTTACTTTTTACTCCGCTACATTTTGTGAAATCTGTCGTTCCTTTTGGTTTATGTGTGCATAAAAATATAATGTCAAAAACGAAAGAAGTGCGAAGCAAGAACACCAATCAGGGCACAGCGCACTTTGTTTTGAGCATTCAAACATAAATGATGAACTAACCTAACTTGGTGTAAATAGACCACAATATAGAAATATGTACACATATGCAGTCGTGACTGACGTGTCTTTTTTCTGAATTTATACAAACACTACTTCATTTTATAGTAAATTTGTTTTTGCTAGTTTCTGTTTATGAACAGAGACCTACAGATGGAATACAGTAAAGGAAAACTCATTTGTGAACCTGAGTTTAAAGCAGGTTTTTATTAAACTTTTATTAAACTTGTAACTAAGTTGCATTAAGTTAATTCATCTTTTAGTACTTTTACTTTCAATACTTAAGTACATTTGAAGGCAAATACTTTTGTACTTTTACTCAAGTGGAGGTCTAAAGGGAGGAACTTCTACTTTTACACCACTGTAATGCAGTGATGTCTGAGAGTTCGAAGTTCATGGGCCTTCTTTTGTAGTTTTTGGCTTTGCTTTTAATGCAGAGAGATTTATCGAAATTCTGTGAATCTGTAGATGTTATGGTGCACTGTAGAGCGTGAAATACCTAAGAACCTTGCAAACACAACACATCGAGTGACACTATTGTTAAAGTGTTGCATTTTTTTGGACTAGGCGTTTTGTGAATGCTCCTTTATACCCAGGCCTGATTACTTCACTCGTTTGTTTCTAGTATTAAATTGCTCCTGTCACAACTTTCTGGAAGGTGTTGCAGGCATCAAAGTCAGAATGATTGCAATTGCACACAATGTTTAGGAAAACATTTTGCAACATTGGTTTTGCTTCGGACTACTTCTGGTCATGTCTTGCGAGCATGTGAATGATCTACTATTGTCTTTGTTTCTTCATCAATGTAATGTTGATGTTGCATTTGAAACCTAAACATCGAGCCAAACCTCCTTTTTGAGACTGTGCATGTTATGTTACTACGTAAAGATGTATGATGTGGTTTGAAAACCCCCGACCCAATGCCTCTGACTTTCAAGTGATTATTGAAGATGCGAGCTAGACTAGCGAATAATGTGTTTTACTCAAATATCGGCTGCAGAAAATGAACATAACATCCACAAAATGTGCTGAAAGCTAAATCTCATCAGGACATCATTGATAGTTATTTGAAGTAGATAGTTATCATAATGTAAGTGCTGTATCCACCAAAGTACAGTATCTAACAAGTACACCAACTTCTCCATTGCTCCATTTTACCCAACCATAACTGCTATGCACCTTTGTCTTTCATTTGTTCCTTCCTCATCCCTCCATTCTTTCATACACTGCTATTACTGTTCCACAAACTGTATCTATCTAAACCCCAGCAAATGGGAGAGGCAGCTAATGAAACCAAATAAAGCCTAATGTACCTTCTGGTTTCTTAATAATGTATCGCTACATGATACCATGCCATCAATATGCTGGTTAACAGTGAACTTTCATGCCAGTTGTAGTTTGTTATGTGTAGGTAAGAAAATACAGCTTTAATTTCTTATCTAATCTCTAATATAGCCGACTACGGAGCCTGTAGCCTAAACTGAGCAGCTACTGGAGCTACACTAAAGCATGCTGGTTTAGCTGGCAATGCTGTGAGTGCTCCAAAAAAAAATAAATAAATAAATACAATGGAGTTTGCATTTTAAAGGAAAAATATGTAAATTATGCTTATAATCTCTTACAATTTACCATAGTGAGGTTATATGTTAGCCTGTGTGCTATGTAGCATGTGTGCCGCACACCTGAACATCTCAAGAAGTCAAAGTTACTCTGGTACTCAGGGCAGCGTAGCATCTCTTATAAGGATAAACAGAGCGGTCAGTTAACTCTGTGGCCAAATCACAGCTGTTCTGAGGTCAGCCGAGAATCTCTCACTGCTCACCGTGTAGTTTTATCGCTTTTCCCACGTTTTGTCCATGCGTCTTTAATTTTTAGTTCATTTTGAATTAGTAGAATCATGCTTGTGTGTGACAATTTCCTGGACAGGAGTTAAGCCTAGTCCTGGACTGCACAGGATTTTGAATGGATATTTTCCATTGAAAGGAAACTATAGCGACCAAGCCCAAGCCACTTGTCCAGGAAACAAACACTGCAAACACTGACTGGTGCTGGCCTGCCAGTAAATGGAGCACATCTTTTTTTGTTTGTTTGTTTGTTTTAACCTATAACTAAGTCTTCAGTGAGAGTCAGGGAGTGTAGATAAATATCATTTCTACTTTTAGGTACAAATTACAAAACACACTCATATGTAACTGGTTTGGCAGCCAGTTTTGATGGACTAATGATTTGTGAAAACAATCCCTATATAGATTACACTGTAACATATTCTCTACTTAGTCACCATATGTTCACTCCAGCCCCTACCAACAACACAACTATAGGATTTTTCCCTCTAAAATATCAGTTTTTACTAAGAAATGCATAGTTTTTCTACATTCTTCAAGTGCTGCTTTGGTCTAATCTCTAATGTTTCCTCTACACCGATTTAGAGCCCAAATATTCAGGTTCACAAAACAACGGATGGAACAAAAGAGGACTGCAGAATGAACATGCACTCCTGTACCCTCCACTCTGTGTGTGAGAGGAAGTGCACTTGAATACAGTGAGTACAGACCACAGGCAGAGAAACTGCAGAGAGATGAAAGTTATCATGAGTTCTGAAGAAACGAAGGTAAGAACTCAGCGACCAACTGAAAAACCCCATTTTGTGGCATATCCTCAGAACCTGACAGATGTTATCAGAGATGATTCATGTTAAGTGTTAATGGCACATAACAGCAAGTATATTTAGTGTGTGTCCCTAGCGTGTGTCCAAAGAACAGTTACTTTTTAGCAACTGAAGCAGCCAGTTCATTTAAAAGCATGGGCAAAACTGTGTTCTGAGAAAAAAACTAACAACTAAAAATAACCACTAACAAAAATGAGAGAAAAAGAGCTCACAAGTAAATTAATTAAACCACTAAAACTAATAACTCACTACAGCAAATGTTGGTCTGTATCTCCAGTAAAAGCAGAATCAGCTTCAGAATCACAATAAGTACTAAAACCTGATAACATAACACTTACAAGGAATTTGTCTAGGCTCACTTCAACACAGACAGGTATCATAGTCTGCTCTTTTTAAGAAGTAACAATATTGATAATTAATTCAAATAAATGAAAAAAGTATGTTATGTCAATATTTTGACATACTGCTGCTAAAAAGACAGAAGGAGGAGCTCTTCTAGCTGGCATGAATGGATTTTCATTATTAATAATAGTAATAATAATAGTAAAAGTAATAGTAATAATAATAAATCTTTATCTATATAGCACTTTTCATGCTGATGGCAGCTGAAAGTGCTTTACAGACAGGTGATAAAGCTTAATAGTAATAGAAGTAATTACAAGAACTTTTTAAATGTTTTTTTTATGATTTAAAATCATAAGAAAATTTCACTGATCAGATTAAAAAGATAAATACCAACGACACGTAGAGAATTAATTAAACACCAAGTTGAAGAGTATGCTTTTAGATGCTTCTTTAAAGACTAAGACATTCTGTGATGTAAGTGGGTGCCAGGTCATTCAGTGCCTTAAAAACTAGTAGCAGAACTTTAAACTCTATCCTGAAGGACGGTAGCCAATGCTAAGAGTCTAAAATTACACCCAAATTTTGTACCTCAGCTTTGGTATATGAAGCTAAGAGGCAGCATATACAAAGAGAAAAGCAAAGGCCCTAAAACTGAACCTTGAGGGACTCCACAAGAAATCTTTCCCATTGAAACCTTAAACTCCCTATTACCTAGATATGATTTAAACCATTCTAAACTCTGCCTGAGAGGCCGACCCAGCATTCAAGACATTGGATTACAATCTTGTGGTCAACAGCATCAAAAGTTGCACTAAGATCTAATAAAACCATAAAAGAAGGATTGTGTGCATCAGCACTGAGGCTGAGGTCATTCACAATGTGAACCAGTGCTGTCTCA